AAATAGTGCACGTCAATATTCTCAGCCTAAATGGCTTACTTTGCATTATAAAAACAAGTCACCTGATTGTGCCACCTCTTCATCTGGTTTACTAATATGTAAAATCTATATAAATGCTATTTTTGCTATTCCTCATCTCTCTTATTGATTGGGTGTGATATGATTAATTTGGGGAGGCTTCAGCATAATCATTAGACCCTCACCTCCAGCCTGTCAATACACATCTGCCTTAGTCCCTGACCCTCATTTTTATCATCCAGCATTAAATCACAACTCTGCTGCAAGTTTTGTTCTGATTTTGTTCCTTAGTTTGGTTACAGATTCTCCATTTTATTCCTTTGTAGTTCTGCTCAGAAGTTTTGAGTTCTTAAACTACTCTGCATAATTCTAATTTTACTTTATATATGGAATTTTAAAGCAAACCTGTATGATACCATAATGAATTCTAAACTCATTAGCATTGCTGTCCTTTCATAACAACTCTCATTTTATGCTATTTTCACAATGTTTCTGCCTCATGCAGGAAAAAGAGCAGTAACTAAATGAATATGCAAAATCAACAATTTTCCTATAAATACTGCATGAGTTAATTTAAGTCTTGCTTAAAATTTCTAGAACACATCCAACAGGTGACATGAGTTGATTATCATTGGTGTATAAAAGCATGCTAATAATTTTTAAAAGGGTCAATAAAAACAGACAAAGAATAATAATAGTAATTGACAAAAGAAATACAAATCTGGTAAAGATATATTCAAATATGCTATTTGGTGAGAATTTTATAAATAGGCAATCTAATGCATTGCTTATGGAAATGGAAATTGGCATAAATGTTTTCAGGGGGGATTTGAAAAATTCAACTTTAAAACTTAAAAAAAAAACAAAAATTTGATACAATAATTAAAGTTATGGATTTTTTTGTTAAAAAAACATGAATGTATACAAGATCTCTGTACAAAGAAAACAGAAAAATGCCAAAGTCTAAATACCCAAAAAGGGTGCAGAATGAATAAATAATATTGAAAAATATTGAAATATAACCTAGTAGAACAGTGGATTAGGCACTAGAATTAGGTTGCTTGAATTCCAGTCATAGACTCTGACTTATGATCTCTCCAGCTTTCCTAATTAATTTAAACTCTTTGTACCTTAGTTTTCTCATTTTTGGAATGTGGGTAATAATAATACCTAACTAAAAATATTGAGGACATTCAATTATATAATACTACAAGCATTTGGAACATTGTCTAGTATATAGGAACACTCAGTAAAATGTAGCTATTATTTGATGATCTATTATATACTCATAAAACCAGGTTGTTAAATGTTGGTAATATGAAAATTATTATATATGAATTATATATATTATATATTATAATTGAAATGTTATTTATACATGCTTATTATATATGAATACGCATGTATAAATAACATTTCAATTATAAAGTCAATATTTTTAAACTACCTCCTAATGATTTCCCCCTTTTTAGTAGTTCAGTTTCTTTTCTACAGCCCCTGTTTACCTGCACCTTCAGGAAACAGGAGACTGAAGGATCACCTGGGGAAAGAAGAGCAGAGAAATGAATTCCAGGTACTGTAGTTTAGTTAAGTAACACCAGTTCCCCAATAACATGTTTTAAATTTCAATCACCATAGCATAATTAGTTATGGATGATTACCAAACATCAGCTCCACCACTAGTTCTTAAGTCTACAAATCTTATATAACAGTAGTGCATTGTTATGGTTTGCATATAAGGTGTCCCTTAAAATCTCCTGTTTTAATTCAGGAATGTTCAGAGGGGAATTGACTGGATTATGGGAGTTGTAAGGCATTAATCTATCCTAGTTTGAATGAACTAATATTCACCTGTAGACAGGTGGGGTGTGGTTAGTGGAGGCAGATATCTGAGACTGTGCCCTAGAAGGTTCATCTTCCCCTCAGTATCGTCTTTCTGTTTTCCAGTCACTATCAGGTGAGCTGTGCTCCTCCCCATACCCTCTGCCATGATGTTCTACCTCACCTTGGGCCCAAAGAGATGGATTTGGCTGACCAAGCATTTAACCTCTGAAACCACTAGCCCAAACGAAACTTTTCTTCCATCTGAATTTTTCATGTCAGGTGTTTTGGTCACAGTGACAAAAAGTTGACTAACATATTCATTACCAATCACATCCTTGAAAGCCTGACAGGGATTGGGCATTATGCAACTGCTAGCTCATGTGCAGATAGCAAAACATGCAGCTGTATGTTCTGCCTGGGGATAAATTCATCTAATGTTTTACAGAAATGTATAATAAAAGGGTGAAACTGCCCAACAAAGATAAAAATGCAGTTTTAAAAAACAAGCAAACAAACAAACAAAAAAGATATTTCTGGAAGTGAAAAATCTTATTTGAAAGTGAATGGAGTTATAGAAGCAGGGCCTGACTATGGGTACATTGACACAGCTACCATGTTGACACTGCAAGAGAATTTAGGTACCAGCTATTGCAACAGAGTTAAATTGACTTTACCAACACAAAAAAGGAAAGTGGTTTTCACATAAAGGATAAAGCTGTCCTAGAGAAATTGATAATAGCAAAAGCCTTTACATGAAAAGGACTATTGAGGATATTTCATGACATTGAAGATCAAAAGGAGAAAATGTTGATACTGTTCCAAACTTAGAAAGGAATATACAACTTTGAAAGTATAGTAAAGATTCTCAGTAATCATAAGTTATATAAGGAAAAGAAGACAATCTGGTCAAATTACTCAATTTTTTTAACAAAGAAATAAAATAATTCTTAATGTTTCTAACATTTTCAAATATGCTGTGTTAAATAATCAACAGCTTTACTGTTCTTGTCATCTTCTATGCATTTATAATCGACAACAAGAACAGTTAAAATTTTTGATATACATTTGTATAGATGAAGAAACTAGCCACAGTGGTGCATACCTGTAATCCCAGTAACTCTGAAGGTGAAGGCAGGAGGATCTCATTTTCAAGGCCTGTCTGGGTATCCTACTGAGACCCTGTCTCAAAATTTTAAAAATAATTTAGAAAGAATTCTGGATGTAGCTGAGTAGTGAAGTATTCCTGGTTTCAGATCCCTCCCTAAAAAGAAAGGGTCAAAGAGCAAAGTAGTTTTCCCTTTGATTCTTAATAGTGCTTTGTGTGATTTGGGTTTGCCTAGTAACTTTATGTTACCATACATCTATGCAAAGTGAGGACTGTTTGTATATGATATAAAGGCAGTAAGGGAGAAAAGGGTAGAGAGATGCTCTTCTAGGCAGAATTGAGGAAGAGAAGCAACTAAGACTATTTTATTTCATAGGAGTATTCTGCACCACACAAGGATTTGGGTTGAAACCATCAGAAATATTTGGGAAAATTCTAGAATCTAGAGGGACATTGCTCTTTATTTCTAAGGACATAGATAAGAAAAAGCCAAGCCTTTGAGAGAAAACATCAGCCAACAGGAGTTTAAGGAGCAGTCAAGAGATAGTGTGATTGCATAAGGACATCTAGAGGAAGAGGTCTAGAATTTGTTAGGTGACCCAGTGGAAGACAATATTTGTCCTGTTGCTTAAGACAGGGGTGGAAAACCCAGATGGTGGATGTGGTTGTATAGTGGCACTCCCTTTCTCCACAGAAAAGTCTTAACTGGTCTTCTCCAGAAATCTTCACCATGGTTGATTTTAAGACTGTCATCAAAAGAGTCTCTACAAAAGAGTTCAATGTCGATAAACTTTCTATTTTCATGTTGCCCTATTTTACTTGGCCACTGGCTGGCAAGAAATCAGCACTCCAGGTGCTGGACACCCTCTTACCTGTTTTTCACAAACATGTTTCCAGTATAGTAGTTTGTAGAAATATGGAAACAAGGCCTCTGGACTTGAGCTGGGGCTTCATAGAGATGTCTACATTTCTAAGGTAAGAGAAATTACCAATTGGGCTCCATGGTAACAGCTGGCAGGGGGAGGAAAGAAAGGGGAGAAGAAGCTCTCCCCTTCTCGGGTATTATCCTTGAAGGATTAACTTGCCCAGAACAGTGAAAGAAAAATACTGCTTTTATGTGAACTTCTGAATATTGTGAACTTCTGAGCCCCTCCCCTTACATGCTGGGTATAAAATTCTGAAACTACCTGAACTTGGGGTTCAGGGGATTGATTGATTTCAGCAAAAGCTGTGTCCTCTGAACCTGGCTGCAGCCAAATAAAACTGTTTCCTGCTATCTTCAGTGCCTAGCCTGATCTGTCCCCACAACAGTTGTACTAGAGCTAGTAGATGGATCAAGTGTCAAATTGATTAACTTTCTGGGAAGAGAGATTCAAGTGTGTCCTACAAGTGGCCAGGAGGGCAGTCTAGGAATTGTGTTAGCTGCTGTGCACTAGGTATTTGCAGGAGAAATGAGCTATCCTTCACCTGAAAGTTGGAGGAAGCCACTGGAAATAGGAAAAATTTTCACAATTTCAACTACTACACACACAAAAAAATAGGTAACATTTACTCCTGAGCTCAAAAACTACCTTAGGTGTACACCTTAGCAGCTCGGGAGGCTGAGGCAGGAGGATTGTGAGTTCAAAGCCAGCATCAGCAATTTTAGCTAGGCCACAAGCAACTTAGTGAAACCCTGTCTCCAGACAAAATATAAATAAGGGTTGGGGATGTGGTTCAGTGGTTAAGTGCCCCTGGGTTCAATCCCTGGTACCCCCCAAAACAAACAAATAAAAACAAACAAACAAATAAAAAAACACCTCAGGATTAAGGGAGGGAAATATTTTAAGAGTGACTTAAATTTTGAACTGACTGAATATTTATCTGAGACATTTTTGATCCTGAATTGGGTGAGAAAAAGATTTGATTTTTGCATACCATAGGTTTAAATTTTGAACTCTCTAGGATAATCTACAAAGACTGAAAATGTGATTCTTCTAAAAATTAACTTACTTTCAAAGCAATGAGATTCATACTGAACGGCAATTTCTTGATGTTGTTCTCTGTTTTCTAGATTTCCAGAGATAAGTGCATGTTATTTCTTAGGAGGCGAAATGTTTCTTACAGAATCAAGTAAGAACAAACAAGAAGTGTCTTGCAATTAGAACTGGGCCTTGGAAGTGCTGAATAGAAGATCTGAGATTGTTTCTTCTGGAAAAGATAAATAAGGTAAGGACAATAATGTCTGTCTTATCTACCTAACACATTAATGTATTTGGAAAATCAAGTGAGATAACCTAACATGGTTTAGTGCCAGACAAAGTTTTAGGTTTATTATGGAACTACAGCATGAAAACGAAAATAGATATTGAAATTGTCCAAACAAATTGATTTGTATAAATGGAAATGAGATAATTCATATAAAAGGAAGAATTACAAGCAGTAAAGTCTACTCATTTTATTTCATTTCTTAGAAACATTGTTTTTCCAAATATGAGTCTAGGAGAACAACAAAGGCCAGTTATATTTTTTGTGGTAAAAATATTAGCAACTTAATACATAGAATTTTCAATCCTCCAAGACTATTGTATGGGAAGATTCTAAAGTATGCTATAATAGAGGGCCACTGCCCTGTGGATAGTTAGGCTGAGCACAGTGGAGACGGGCCAGTTGCTACATAATTACATCCCTGAAGCTGGGAGTTCTGTTTCAGATAATTCTAGCACATGAAATGCAATATCATTAATGTCATTTCATGCTCAGATGAGAAAAGTACTGAGATTGCCTTGCTTAAGAGTAGCTTAAAAAAAGAAAGGGAAAGAAAGTAAAACTTGCAAAATCAATGTTGCTATATTTTCTCTTAATTCTTCTAAGTCTTGTTTTACTTTCATACTAAAAATAGACTGAATGTTACTGATTTTATCTCTCCTTTCATTCATACATCAAATTTTATGGAAGGTCTAAAACTAATGTCCATAGTTATTTATTGCAAGTGTATATGTGAAGTGTATATATATATGCTTTTCTATCCTCTTTTATTGCTTGATTTTTAAAATACCTAAATAGAAGCAGTCTTTTTACAGATGTCTTTTCTTTATTGTAGCTTTATTTTCTTACTGTGGCAATGCATACACAACATTAAATTTACCAATTGTAAAATTCAGTGATATTTCATACCATTCTAATTTGATAAGGTCATCACCACTTTCTAGTTCCAGAGCAATTTTATCACTCCAAACACTTTTTTTCCCAAAAAAAAATTTCTGAATAGTTTTATTTCAAGACAAATACTTAGTGAAAACAATAGTGGTTTATCAACATCTTGGGTGAAATTATTAAATCAAAGAGTATAAATGTTCTGTATTATTGACTGTATCTTTGATTCAGCATTCCTTTAAACTTGAGAGGGATATCAAAATTAATTTTTCTTTAAAAATATGCATTACTATCAGATTATAGATTTAATACCTGTACATAATGAACATATTAGTACAATATAGAGTAGAAAAACTATCTAAGACATTACTTTTCATTTTATTCTTTATGTTGTATCTTCAACTTAGTAAAATTATTTAATATTACTTTAAAGCTATTAGCATACAATGAAATGAAAAACAATTCCCAAAATATAGAGATCATATGTCAATACCATCTTTACACTGATAGATTTTGTTTTGGTATAAAATACATACATAAATTTGAAAATAATTTTTGGTTAACATTTATTTAAACACATTACCATAGGATTATCATATATTTGCATATCATACTTTTGATAACTATCATAAAGACAAGTAAAAACAAAAAAAGGAGGCTTAATTATCACTGTTAAAAATGAGGGAAGAGATTTTTTTAAAAGATTATTTATTCATTATAGATATAGATAATATTGAGCTTCATTTTGACATAATTTTATAAGCCCAAAATGTAATTTGCTCCAATTCAATTCCCAGTGCTTCCATTTTCCCTTCCCTCCCTTCTCCCCCTATTCTCTTTTCTTTACTCTATTGATCTTGTATTTGTTTACAGTTTATTTACAATTGGTCAGATTCATTCCTTCATTCTTTCCTTTGCCAGTCCTTCCCCTTCGGTCCCCTACCTCTAATTTACTGGTGTCTCTTCTGTTTTCATGGGATCCCCTGGCTTTTTCTTTTTTAAAACTTTTGCTTTTTTCAGGGGTCTAGTTTCTACATAGGAAAGAAAACATCAGACCCTTCACTTTTGGGGTCTTACTTATTTTACATAGCATGATGGTCTCCATTCTCATCTATGTCTGATCATAAGAAACCCTAGTTTTCTGTTAACATTTATTTAAACACATTACCATATCATTATCATATATTAGTTTACCATACTTTTGATAACTACTATAAAGACAAATAAAAGCAAAAAAACCCAATGAGGCTTAATTATCACTGTTAAAAATGAACAAAGGTATTTAAAAAAAATTATTAGTTCATTATAGATATCATCATATATATATGGATATATATATATATATATATATGTATATATATATCACATTTTCTTTATACCGTCATCTGTTGATGAGCACAAGCTGGTTCTGTAGCTTGGCTAGTGTGAATTGTGCTGCCATAAACATTGATGTGTCTGCATTATCCCTACACTATGCTGATTTTATATTTTTTAAAAATATACCAAGGAGTGAGATACATAGATCACTCTATACTGCCTTCCAGAGTGGTTGTACTAGTATGCAGTCCCACCAACAATATATGAGTGTTCCCTTTTACCCACATCCTCAACAACATTTGTGTTTGTGTTCTTCATAATTGCATTTCTGACTAGAGTGAGATGAAAACTGGGTGTAGTTTTGATTTGCATTTCCCTGATTGCTAGAAATGTTGAACACTTTTTCATATATTTATTGATCATTTGTAATATTTCTTTCAAGAAGTGTCTCTTTAGTTATTTTATTTTCTTATTAAATGGGTTGTATGTCTTTATTCTTTCTTTTTGGTGTAAAGTTTTTTATTTCTTTATATATTTTAGATATTAATTCCCTGAGGAGCAGGTGACAAAGATCTTCTCCCATTCTGTAGGGTCTCTCTTCTTACTCTTAAATGTTTACTTTGCTGTTCAGAAGCATTTTAAATTGATGCCATTCCACTTATTGATTCTTGGTTTTATTTCTTGAGCTTTAGGACTCTTTTAAGGAAGCTGATGCCCGTGCCAGTATATTGGAGTGTTGAGCTCACATATTCTTCTAACAGTTGCAGAGTTTCTGGTCTAGTACCTATGTCTTTGATCCATTTTGGTTTGGCTTTTATGTAAGGTCAGAGATAGGAATCAATTTTCATTCTTCTACATATGAATATTAAGTTTTCTTAGAAACATTTGTTAAGTTTTGTACAATATATGGAAACTTTCTTGATTATCAAATGATTATATCTATATAGGTTTATCTCTATTCTATTCCATTATTTTCATGTCTATTTTCTTGCCAGTACCATGCTGTTTCTAATACTGTAATTCTGTAATATACTTTGAGGTTCAGTATTGTGATGCTTCCAGCATCACTGGGAAGAGATTTTCCTCCCTCCTTTCTTGTAATGCATTTACTCTAGAAAACTGTCATGGTAAATACTTTCTCCTCTCTTTAAACTATGTATAAATCCTTTAAAAAACAAGATAGGCTTTTTGTCAGTTTTATGACTTAGGAATGTCTTTTTCCAGTACCATGAGCTATCTTTGAAAATAGCATCCATCTTCTCCTTTCTGTTGGAAATTGGGAGCTTTTCTTCTGGATACAGTCAGTTAGAGAATGCAGAGGATCAACCCAACTTCCAGGTAAATTTAGCATGAACTATGGTTGTGAGAAATTGTGCTGTGAAGGTATTTTGCTTGAGGATTCATTACTGTGTATCTTAAAACATATATGTAATGGTTTGTATCTGCTTGGCTACAAAAATGGGTGAGATTTCTTTCTCTTTTGGTAATCTCTTGTTAGATTGTCAGCAATGTGCACCACAGTCTAATGTTTATTCAATAATAAAAGTTTCATTTTCTTCTACTACCTTGCTGAGAGTATTTCTGGGTTGAAAACTTTGTTTTAAGTTAGATTTCCCCAACACTATAAAATACTCCCCCATGAGGAGATATAACTTAATTATGTAGCTATCCTTGAAAACTCTGATTTTTAAAATATTATTATTTAAATAATATTGTGATGAAATAGTATATACTAATCTTCATCTGACTTTCCAGTTTCTTCAAACAAACTTCTTGGAAAGCAATTAATTGTGTCAAGGATCAACCTTTATTTAGACCTTTATTACATGTATGATAGTTTCATTTACTACATTATGGTCTTGAAGATATATAGAATTGAAATTCGTGAAAATCAAACAATAGATTTTAATGTTATAATGTGAATACTTTTTCAAGATAATTAGAGAACAATCCTATTCTTAATTACTTGTATAAATGCTTAATTTTTTGTTTTAAGTCTTCCATCAGGAGACTGTGTGTGTGTGTGTGTGTGTGTGTGTGTGTCCCCATTACCTGGCTAATTTAACTCACTGGAGGTTAATTATAATGTTTTAATTCTACTTTGTCTTAACAAAGAGTTTTATAAAGATAAACTTTCATCAATTATTTGTACTAACAGGCAGTTCATAATACTGATAAAATATATTGATATAAAATACTGATAAAATACTGATAAATAATAATGATAATAATTAAGTAGGTAAGCATTAAGTATAAGCATTTGTTTTTTGATATACTTTATTATCATACATTCTAGCCCTTTAAGGTTCTTTAATGTGACCTGAAACAGATAGAAAACCTCTTTAAATGTGTGGTTGAAAAGTGGGGTTGATGGCAATTTTGTAAAGGATTGAGTGGCAGGAGGTTATGATGTTGTCTTACCAATTTTCTTAAAACTTTCCCAATAAAGATTTAATGAACTGCTTGGTTTTCTTTTGCTAAAATTGCTATATAGCCAGTATTCCTATAAAGGGTCTAGGAAACTGCACTTAAATCTACATTTGGATTATTGGATGTCATCAATTATCACCTCTTTATTATGAAAAAGTCAATCATACCAAAAACTGAAAGCAATGGTTTAATGGATTGTCAAAAACTCACCACTCAGCTTCAGAAATTATCAGCTCTTATTTCCTTTACACCTCACCCATTAGCTACTCCCAGACATTTATTCATCTATAAATATTTTAGCATGTATCTCCAGAAGATCTTTAAAA